GTTAGTTCACCGGTGATCTTGACAAATTGTGTTTAAGAAACACGTTTTTTTTGGGGCAGAAGCAACTACACATTAAAAAAAAAATAATAATAGTGTTGGGGATACTGCCCTGTACAGGAGCACCCTTGAGTTTTAGACCATTGACAACATTACTGTTTGTTGCTTCACTTAGTTTATAAAAATCAAGATGTACTCTCTATTTACTCACCCTCAAGTGGTTCCAAACCTTTGTAAGCTTTTTCTTCTGTTGAACACTAAAGAAGATTTTTCCTAAAAAGCTCAAAACCTGTAACCATTGACTTCCAAAATAAGAAAAACAAACAGTAACACTTTATTTTGATGGTCCATTTGAGTATTAGTAGACTGCCTGCTTAATATCTGTTGATACAGACATTTAAAAGACATTTAACTGACTATAAGAAACTTTGCAAGTACATATCAGCTTACACTAACCCTAACCCCAACATAACAATCTACTTATATTCTAATGAGAATTAGTTGGCATGTAGATGCAATGTCACTTAAAAGCAAGGCAACGAAATGCAGTTTAGGTCCAACCAGGAGTGCAATAGATTGGAGGAACTATGATGTCAATTTGTATGCAAAAACCCAGAAGCGAGTTAGCATTTTAGCAGTTCCAGTTTCCTCGTCCCAAAGTCAATGATTTCAGTAAAATTGCTTAAATAAAGTCAGTGCCTAACACAAAGTCAAGATACTTTCACGTTTTATTTGACGACATAAAACACATCAGCTACATCACACTCTTGATTTTTTAAATCCGTTATGCTTCTTTAAAAAGACGGTTGCTATCAAGTTGCTAAATGGGACTACAGTGTCGGAGACATTATCCGTCATTGAGCTGAGCTGGTTTGGAACGCAGTTCGCTTGCGTTGGACATTTGTATTTGTCTGTTATTTAAGTATTTTTTAGAATAGTATTTTATAGTTGTAGTATTCTTATCATTGGAAATTCATATTGTGTGTAGATAATGCCTTCACTTGTAAAGATTGTCAAGAGATTCATTTGTTGATTATTTATTTTAATTAAATTATATTATGGGGATACTTCTTACCAGTGCAGTCTGTCTCTTTCCTCCCCTCAGTAATTCAAACGTGTGAATAAATGTTTAAAAATACATACATACATATTACCAGTCCCTTTAACGTGATCAATAGATTTTTTGTTGTTTTTTTCTTCATCAGAACATCTGAGCACATTTAACTCTCATCATAACTGCAGTATTTACACTTCTTAAAATTTATAGCATATGTGACTGTATGGGCTGCTTTTCGTTGTACTCCGTGACAAAAAAAATAATATTAAATGTTGTTCTGTGTCCATGATGGAACTTGCAGGCATATAGACTTCCCTCACTCCTCATTTCTTTCGTCTATTACTAAGGTAAGCGAGCAGTATGCATGCGAGCGATAAACCTATTTAGTCTAATGATAATACTATGTAGGCACATTTATTTTATGTATACAATTTTAAAACATTTACCGTTTAACCGTAAAGCAAAACAAAATGTATTTCCCAAGTAAAAAAAAAAAAAAAACTATCCAAAAGGCACGCATGTCTATGTGTATTTGCATATTTATTTGTTTATAATAGCGTGAGATATAATATAATAAACTGAGAGAGTAAATCTTTGTCATGGACCATATTTCTAAAAATAAGCTGGAAAGTTTGTCTGTAGCAGGGTGATGCTGACGTCACAGGCAAGCGCCTCGAAGGCACTTTATAGCCTAATGTTAGCTTTTTTAATTCTTGCGTTTGTATTTAATATCCAAAAGTGCTAAAAGATGTATTTTTTATGTGAGGATTATCTTGCTGGACAAAACATGTACACGTAATGGCCTGTGTTTGAACACAGCTTATTAATTGCAATCTTCGAAAAACTTGCAAGATTAAACATGCAGCAAAAGTCATTTTTGCAGAGTAGATATATTTTATGAGAGACATTAGTAACCACATGATTAAACATTGTTTATTAAAGGATCTGGGGCGACACGGTGGCTCAGTGATTAGCACTCTTGCCTCACAGCAAGAATGTTATTGGTTCGAATTCCGGTTGGACCAGTTGGCATATCTGTGTGGAGTTTGCATGTTCTCCCCATGATTGTGAGGGTTTCCACTGGGTGCTCTGGTTTCCCCCACAGTCCAAAGACATTAGCTATAGGTGAATTGAATAAACTAAATTTGCTGTAATAAATGTGGGAGTGTCTGCGTGTTTCCCAGTAACCGTTTGAGGCTGGAAGGGCATCCGCTGTGTGAAACATGAGTAGTTGTGAGCCTGAGCCTGAGTAGTTGGCGGCTTATTCCGCTGTGGCAACCCCAGATATATACAGGACTAAACCACGACAAAATGAATGAATGAATGGATGAATGAATGAATGAATGAATGAATGAATGAATGAATGAATGAATGGTACTCTTATGATACATGTAGCAGATTTAATTTTAGCCTCCAAGCAAATCGACACATCCTGGGCTCAAAATAGTCTAACCTAGCAGTTTTTAACAGATGATAATATATTTCATTCCATTTCTGAATTAATTTAAATGCAAATACAGAATACACAGCAAAGCAATACAATATTTCATTGCATGTTTAAAGCAATACTTTTAGATATAATCTCATACCTAATGAAATAAATAAAAATAAACAAATCTCCACTATTCAAACTCATTTATTTGCACACCAAAAGCAACCCAAAGGGGATTTGGCCAATTATTTTGCTTCTAAGAAGGATTTTCATTTTGTTTTAATTTCACTGTTTATTTGGCTCACGGGATATTTCATACTCCACTACATGCACACAGTCACACTATCAAAACCCTATTCTTCCTTCAGTAATTGAATCTCAATAGGGTGTGCATTCGGAGAACTAATGAGAACTAAATGTCAATCATGTTGTGACGATGCACTGTCTGCTGGTGATGGATATCTTTAGGAAGAGAGTGAGAGGAGCATACCAAAAAAATTAAATAAATAAATAAATCAATGATCTGTGGTCACAATGATACTTTCCGCCATGCCTCATTTTATCAGCCTTGTGAATATCTGTTTGACATTTTGTAGATACCTGCTTTATCACACTACCTCCAGCTGTGAGGTGCCACTCAAATAAAAAAAATTAAAAAAAAGGAAACACATACACACAAATGAACATCTTTCTATTAGAAATATGTCTATATTATATTATATTATATTATATTATATTATATTATATTATATTATATTATATTATATTATATTATATTATATTATATTAAATATGCAAAAAATATACATTTAACAGTCATATGTATTGCAGTCAGTATAGTTATAATACTGTTGTTATAATTATTATAATCACCATGTTTTCATGCTCTTTTTGAGTAGTCATACTAATTACAATCAGCATCTTTGACAACTGGCCCTGCGTGCAACATAATAATGAAGTATAAAGAACAAAACATACTTACTGGCCCTGAATAAAATATGAGGGCATCTGGCTATAGGCCACAGGGGCAGGACTGCCAAAGATAAGGATGATGCTCAGTCTATCAGTATGCACAACATCAATCAGGTTTTATAATCATCTTCAAGATCTAAAAAAAGCAAACGTCTGAGGCAGATTAGTAATCATAACTTGTATACTTGTACTAAGTCTTTGTTGTTCTTGTTTTTTTTTTTTTTTTTTCCTAAGAAGCTTAGAAATAAGACTGTAATGTATTCTACCCCAGAGCTCTTTTTTTTTTTTTTTTTGCTCTGAAGTAACTTCACGGGGACCACCGAAACATCATCAGCCCTGTTGTTTTTATTCGCAAAGACATGTTGATGAATCATACAGTCTGTCTCTATCGTTATTGTTTTCTGGGGGAGTATTTTTCACTGCCTGATCCGCCAGAATTCCCCTGGTGTCCTAAATATATCATTTCTTGGATATTTTTTCATCATATTTCAAAAAGGTCAGATCTGCGGGTTCCCTTAAAATACTTACTTTTGAGTTAGTTCATGTAAATTAACCGGTTTTTATCCTTTAGCTGAATTAAAGATTTTTTTTTTAGATTCTGTTTGTTTATATTAAAATTAGATTATATTCATTCATTCATTCATTTTCATAATTTAATTATTTATTGTTTACTCACTAATAAAAATAGTACAGAAATATACATTTTAAAAATATACAACATTTTATTTTAATTTTTTCTTTATTTTATAGTTTTTATTAATAAAAATGGAACAGAAATGTGTTTTAATAATATATTTTCTTTATTTTAGTAAATACTTCTTTTGATTTGTTAGCAAAACTAATGAGCATGCTATCAATTAATATATTATATTAAGTTATATTTTATTATATCATATCATATTATATAATAATATATATATATATATATATATATATATATATATATATATATATATATATATATATATATATATATATATATATATATATTATTATTATTATTATTATTATTATTATTCTATATATATATATATATATAGTGTATGAGTAAATAATGTATGTAATTTATGACCGATAATTTGTCATTTGTGACAGCAACAATTAAGTTGGGGCCAGAATTAAATTCCAAAATAAACATCATCTGTTTGAATAAAAAAAAAAAATAATAATAATTTCATCATATCATGTTTTATTTTTAATTTTTTTTTCTTAAATCATTTTTGGATTCGATAAAAAAATAGCCTATGTTAGATTGCAGTGTCTGTTATAAATTTAAAATAATATTTTCATAACTAATGGTTATGTTAAAATTAAGAAAAATGGGTTAAATTAAAATATATTATAAATCTCGATTTTTTTTTTTTACATTTGATATATATATGTCCACACACACACACACACACAACACACACACACACACGCCACAAAACAGTAAAATAGTAACCTACATTTGGATTAATCATCATTATAAAGCACAAACACACCTCAACGAACAGGTGGTCAAAGCCTCAGTTGACAATTTGACTCAAGTAGCTTACTTACGTGTAGTGATTCCAAAGTGAAAGTCTTCGTGCCGGCAGGTTTTTCCTGAATAAGAATCCCACATTGGTAAAAGAACGGGGATGGTGTGGGAATGTCGCTGTTGTGCGCGCTGAGAGACTGCTGGAGAGTTTAGTGCTCCTGATGAGCGCGCGCGCGGTTCATCTGTGCGGAGGAGTCGCGCTCGTGCTGCGCCTGACAGATCTGTGCTCAATGACAGGAGAGGATGCTTTATGATCGACTACATTACTCAGCACTTACATTCATGCACTGCAGTTCGACGTGGACAGAGCACGTCAAGATTTTCAAGTATTTTTTTTTTTCTACTTGGCGGGTTTTTCCTACCTGCTAGGGAAAAGATGACCTTTTAAATTCTCCAAATGTATTTTACACTGTGGGCATATACAGGTTGTTTATGTGACGTTTCATTCTCTGTCTCTCATGACAAAACGGAATATAACCAATTAGCATAGTTATATAAATTAGAATAATTATATAAAATGCAGGTTAAACATTTCTTTGTCTTCCATGGAACTCTGGTTATTAAAAAATGCTGTTATTAAATATTATTAATTTTAGCTATTTTTGAGCCTCAAACGTGTATGGTGTGACTGTCTCAAGAATTAGAAGACTAAACACTGTATAAAAAAACTGCTGGGTTTCACACAATTATTTTGTGTTAGGACAACATGAAGGAATTAAATTAACATTTTTTTTACTAATTTAAGTAGAGTGAACATAAAACAACAAAGCCAAAAAAGAAAAAAAAAGAGAAAACTCTAGAATTGATTTGTTTTGTTTCTGTTCATTTTATGTAAGTAGTTTGAGCAAGCAGCAAATGTCATTTTTATGCTAATTTTAAATCAGACAATTCCACAAAAATGTAAGTAGTTGAAGGACCTCATATGAGATCGTGTAACTGAAGCCCCTGGGTTTTTATTTTTGGAAATATGTAAGTTTTGTCATGGAATGACACCCCTATTTAATGTCGGTCACACTTTATTTTGATGATCTGTTTGTTGACTTTAGGTTACATTGCATCAACATGCCAACTAATTCTCATTAGATTAAGTAGACTCTTAGGTTGGGGTTGGGGTTAGTGTAAGTTGACATGTAAAGTTTCTTATAGTCAGTTAAATGTCTGTTTAGCAGCAGTATCAACAGATATTAAGCAGACAGTCTACTAATACTCAAATAGACCATCAAAATGAAGTGTAACCAAAATCATTCATTCATTCATTCATTTTCTTGTTGGCTTAGTCCCTTTATTAATCCAGGGTCGCCACAGCGGAATGAACCGCCAACTTATCCAGCAAGTTTTTTTTACGCAGCGGATGCCCTTCCAGCCACAACAAATCTCTGGGAAACATCCACACACACATTCACGCACACAATCATACACTACGGACAATTTAGCCTACCCAATTCACCTGTACTGCGTGTCTTTGGACTGTGGGGGAAACCGGAGCACCCAAAGGAAACCCATGCGAAGGCAGGGAGAACATGCAAACTCCACACAGAAACGCCAGCTGAACAGAGGTTCGACCCAGCGACCTTCTTGCTGTGAGGCGACAGCACTACCTACTGCACCACTGCCTCACCCTTGTAACCAAAATATCCAACAAATCAGACATGTTATGGAGAAGAAAAAAAAACATTATTTATAAATTTGTATAAAATGAATAGCAAATTATCTTCATCGTTAGGCACTTATCTTAACATAATGCTATTTATTTTACACAAATTATACAAACAACTAGATAAGAAAACTTAAGAAAATACAAATGATGTGATATATAGTTCAGGAGTAGTTAAGGATAGCTAAAGATAAGGTAATGATGATGTGCCCCTCCAAGTAAAGTCATGACATAATTATAAATTAACAGCTCATAAGTTCATGTTGGTTATTCATTCATTCATTTTTCTTTCAGCTCAGTCCCTTTATTAATCTTGGGTTGCCACAGCAGAATAAACCACCAACTTATCCAGCCACAACCCATCACCGGTAAAAAAAAATATATATATAGCACTGTCAAAATAAGTATTCAACATAGAAGATAATTTGATATCACACTATTTGTATTTTTTTAATTTTTCTTATCTTGTTATTTTTCTTAATTTTTATTACAGTTCAGAAACTTTGTACTATTTTTAAATATAGATTGATAAAGTTAGTGCAGTTAGTCTTTATTTTCTCAAACATAATACATCAAACTACATAAATATATCTATTTTATTCATCAAATGTTTATTTTATTATATTATTATTTTATTATTATTTTTTTATCGTTGTGTTTATGTTTAAATTATTTTATCTTGTTTAATTTTATGGTGTCCTTGAGCTGCTAGAAAGGCACCTTTTAATAAAATGTATTATTATTATTATTATTATTATCATTATTATTATTATTATTATTATTATTACTATGCATTTGTCAACTATCCACACTCAAAAAAATATATATTTTGCTGCTTGTTCAAACTACTTTTTCAAAAAAGGTTGAAACAACACAATTCTTACATTTTCTGGGACAATTTAATTTTCTTATGTTCAACCCACTAAATTTTTGTGTTGGGACAACATGAATGAAGTTAACATTAAGGTTTAACAAATTTAAGTAGAATGAACATAAAACAATTAAGCCACAAAAAAAAAAAAAAAAAACCTTCAAGAATATTTTTTTTCCCACCTTAACATAGTTTGAACAAGTAGCAAATGTTATTTTCGTCTGTATGCTAAATTGAAATCAGACAATTCCCCTGAAAATTTTAGGTTTTGAAAGACCCGATTGAAGACCATGTAATTGAATTCCCCATGATGCATACCTTACATATTTTTTGGAACCACTAGAAATGTTGCCATTTTTTGGTGTGACATCCCTGTTTATTGAAAATGCCATACAAATCAGACAAGTTTTAAAGAAAAAGAACATTATTCATGAATTCATATAAAATAAATAGCACAATGTGAAGATAAGTATCCAACGATAAAAATAACACTTTACAATCATGAATAATGATGTGTTAATATGCAAACTAAACATTACTTTATTATAAACTAATGATGAGTTCATGTAATCATGAACTAACTTTAACTACAACATGAGTCACGTTAGTTCATGTGTGAATAACAGCTACTTTAATTACTTGTTAGTACATGCTTATTTTTTAATTAATGTATGAATCACCACATTAGTTTATGCTTAAGTTAACCATCATGAGCTCATGATATGTTCATGTATAATTATATCATGACTTTTCATGGAAGGGCACATCATCATTTACCCATTCTTACCTACTCAAGAACTCCTTTTGTACACCAGTCACTGAATAACAATAGAAAAGTGTTCTATCAACATCAACAGTTTAAACACAGGAGTTCATAAGTAGTTAAGGATGAATTAATGATGATGTGCCCCTCCAAGTAAAGTCATGACATAATCATACAATAACAGCTCATGAGTTCATATTGGTCAGTCATTCATTTATTTTCTTTTTGGCATAGTCCTTTTATTAATCTGGGGTTGCCACAGCAAAATGAACCGCCAACTTATGTTTTACGCAGCGGATGCCCTTCCAGCTACAACCCATCTCTGGGAAACATCTATACACACTCATTCACACTCATACACTACGGACAATTTAGCCTACCTAATTCACCTGTACAGTATATCTTTGGACTGTGGGGGAAACTGGAGCACCCGGAATAAACCCATGTGAACGCAGGGAGAACATGCAAACTTCACACAGAAATGCCAACTGACCCAGCCGAGGCTTGAACCAGCACCCTTCTTGCTGTGAGGCAACAGCACTACCTACTGTGCCACTGCATCACCCTCATGTTGGTTATATTTAGCTTAAAATTAAATGTTAATTAACGCATTAATTACATTCATTTTATTTTCGGCTTGTCCAATCCACTTAACTTAATCGATTTGTGTTGTGACAACATGATGGAATCGTGTAAAACCCAGCATTTTGTACCGTGCATATGTGTTGCGGTGATTATTAGGTCTTGTGGAGGATGCTATCCAAGGTCCTCCAGGGTGCTTCAACAGGCTATGATTCATTTACAGCCAGGAAACCTGCAATCTAGCTGTTATGTAACGGGTGAAGACCAGATAGTCAGACTTCAACAAGCTGAACAGATCCAACCAAATATCAGCACGCTCAATAAATGATGGGGTGTGTGCCTCACGACAGCCGGCGGTGTGTATTATAAAAATAAACCCCAGAAGGTCTGGAGCACATGGAGATAATGCATTCTAATATATGTGCATATTTCCAGGAGTGAAAATGAAAGGGAAGATTGCGTCTTAATAGAGGCGAAGCGAAAGCATGATTGGTCAGGATGTTTCGCTCACTTCAGAAGTTGCGCAGCACATGCTGAAAGAGGGAGGTCAGAGAGGCAGAGAATTGGATTTCTAATAAGGCAGTGACAAAGATTGGGATCTGAACAGGAAGAGTGTCTGTAACAAGGCCAGGGCTTTCTTGAAAGATGAAGAAAAGAAGAGGAAAAAAGAGAAGGAATGAAGGATATGAACCAGCACAAACAGGTGGGCTGTTGAGGGAGGAGAGATGGGGAGCTTTTGTGATGATGCTCTCGCTTGGCTTGTCACTTTTCTCTCATTCTGTCAGTCTTTCCCTGGAGCAGAGATTCATCATTATAGCTTATCTCGGAAATAAAAACCCCCATTCATCTCAACTCCGTATAAAAGACACAGCTAAAAATTCCTCCAGCGAACAGCGGTTTCTGTAGGCTTTGTTTACAGCACATGTCAAGTCATTTCGTTTAACCTGTGGAGAGTTACCTGTTTACGTCAGGACATTTTGTAGGTTAGACTTTGCCTCCAGGTTAAATGGAAATATTCCCACGTGGGAATGATCTTTTTGTTTGTGATAGAGGACAGATTTTTTGAGAGTAAAGTTAAGCCTGTAATTATTCTTATAATGACCCCACAAAAAAAGAGAATTGGTTTATTATTTACACAAACCCCATAATATTTGAATCCCATAACATATCTATTCTTTTAAGTGTTGACTAAACTGGATGTCAGCTGTGGAACATGTCTATGGCCTTTAAACCAAACAGAACTCTTTTTCTGCCTAAATGCGTCTTCAAACCCTGATCCTTTTTATTCCTCTTTGGGTCGAATACCACATTAGGCTGCAGCACCACTATCTCAGCAGGTCAGCAGGTGAGATTTACCAAGTA